TATATATATATATATATACACACACACACACACGTCACATGCGTTGCATGTGTGTATTATGTATATAGTATACGATGTTATAAAAGACAGTAAGCATTACTTAGTTAATGTTTTTTAGTAAATAATTATAATTAAAAATATTGTCATAGAGTTACTTTTAGTTCTTAGATCAAAATAACCAGATATCATTAAAACATTTCAAAATAAATTCAAAGCTTTAATATTGGAGAAACTGACATTTCTTTTGTAGTATATTCCTTAATTCACTGAATTTTGTAAACATATCTAATCCACAAAATAGAAAAAATATACCAATTTAAAAAATGTGGCCAATACTTTACTCTTGAGGTTATGAACATAAATGATGTACATCATTTAAGTACAAATTTTGTCTTAAATATGCATACTTGAAATTTAATATGTGCATGACACTAATAAGGATTACAATAAGTATTTCAATATTTTATCCTAATATGTAATATATATTTTACAAATTATTTCTCCCTATGTCCCAATTTATATGACTTACTTTCCGTTTTAGTCCGTCCCAAAAAGAATTATATATTTCAATAGTAAGTAATTAATTAACTATAAAATGTTTATTTTACCATTAATGAAATGATTTACAGCCACACATATTTTTATCATTAATTTTGGGCCACATGTTTTAAAAGGCTTCCTTTTTTTTCTCTTAAACTCTGTATCGAATCAAACTGCCTCACATAAAATGAGACGGATGGAGTATTACACAATTAATATTTGAGTAAGACTTTCATAGAGAGGTAATTTTACCCAACAAAGTGTACTTTGTTGTTAATGATGGTTAAATAAAAGTTTTTGTGAGTCGATGGTCGGAAACTATTGTAGGCTCTCCATTCGAGGTAAATTCGAGTTATTTTAGGTTGTCATGACTCATTTTTGTGCTATAAATTTTGAATGGTTGTATGTTGGTTCTCTTGACTGCCTCGTGGCCCTTAGTTTTCCATTATGGAGCACACATGATTCCCATTTGATTCAAAAGTTGTCCTATTTTCATTTATGTTTATTTAGTGTTGAAATGACCGTAGTGGCGTTGTGATCCTATTTTTGATAGTGTGAAAACATTTTGAGGCCGTTTACAAGGGAAAGACTCTGACATTGTGATTTTAGGGAACTCGAGGATCAGCCTAAAGGTAGACTATGACTTCCCTTCTCTTAGATTGAGGTTGAATGTGTAATAACATGTTGATTAGACTGAATTGGGGGCGGTTAGCTTGTTTTTCTTTTTTCTTTTCTTGATACATTGTTATAGGACTTGATTGGCTCAATTTTGGGCGTAGTACCATGCTAGTCGGGAATTATGTATTTAGTCCTATTTTTGTGAGTTGACTTGTATGTTGTTATTATGGTATAATTAAGCATGATTGGCCTTAATTTACGGCTAGACTAGTTTTTTCCTTAGACTGCGATACTTGTTGTCTTTAGGAATTATTTGTTCTCCGATATTAATCCAGACAGTTTAACTCATTATAAAATGAACTAGCAGACTTAAGTATAATAAAATGAGTCTTAGTAAATTTAGTTTTGAATATTCTTGAGTACTCCTTGAGTTGAGTTTAATGTTTGAAAAGTGGTAAGTATGTTTCCATTTTTATCAAGTTTCAAGCTTATGTTAAGATTTAGAATTCCCCTAGTAAGCTCATACATTCCACGTACTGAGCCATTTGGCCTGCATCTTTTCATGATGAAGACACAAGTATTTAGGATCTCAAGAGAAGCTTCGCTAATACATCCAGAGCTCGAATTATCTATGGTGAGCCTCCTTGCTTCAGGAGGATTTAATTTACTTTTCGGTTTAGTCAGGATATCGTGGGTCTTGTCCCGATTTCCATCTTTGTCAGTTAGATGCTTCATAGATAGTCTGTATAGTTGACGATTCTGTATTATTCATTTATTTTATTAAATTTTATAAAGACTTAAGTTGCCTATTTTTAGGTTAGTATATATTTAATTATTCAATATTTTCTTTTCGGTTAAAGTTTGTATTGAACTTTGATGAAATTTTGTTTCAGTTATTAAGCTTTTGTGTTATTAAGTTAGTCTTCCGCTTATAGTCAGCCAGGATGAGGGTTCGCTTAACAACGGTTCATGAGTACTGACAACGTCCAGGGGTAGATTCTGGTCGTGACATTTTTAAATTAAGAAAAGTCAAAAAAAGACCTTTTGTTTACTTAAGTTAAAGAAGGTCACTTTTGAACTTCTTTTTTTAAATGGAAAACGGAATAAAGAAAACCAAACTAAATGCCTAAAGTTGAGCTTGAACACAAACATTGAGGCGGTTCTGCACAACCTTAGCCATTAGTCTATCTACCTTTATTGTATCAAGGTTGTTCAATAATTAATATATATCGACTATTGTCGATATTTAACACATATTTCATAGGTCCGACCCTGGTAGAACATAGTGGATCCAAGATCAACAATAGTTGCATAGCCTCTAGGTGTTTTATCTGTACCCACATTTGTAGCATCATTAGAAGGGAGCAAAGAGATATTCAAATAGGAATAGAAAAGATCATCATCAACGAGGAATTTCTAGTAAGTGCGAGTTGTCAGCTCGCGTTCGCTACGTCCCTACCCTTTGTACACATCGCCCGTCGCTCCTACCAATTGAATGATCCGGTGAAATGTTCGGATCGCGGCGACGTGGGCGGTTCAATGTCCACAACTTCGCGACAAGTCCATTGAACCTTGTCATATATAGGAATGAAAAGTCGTAACAAGGTTTTCGTAGGTGAAATTGCGAAAGGATCATTATCGAAACCTGCAAACAAGAACGACCCATAAACATGTTTTAAACACTTAGGCGCGGTGCGCGCCTCCCTGCTGTCGCCCAACAGGCGCAAGATCTTCGTGCGACCAACGAACCCCGACGCAGAAAGCACCAAGGAATACTAAAATCAACATCCTTCCCCTCGCGCCTCGTTTGCGGATAATGCGTAGGGACACACGCTGCTCTGTAAACACAACTGACTCTAGGCAACGGATATCTCGACTTTCGCATTGATGAAGAACATTGCGAAATGTGATACTTGGTGTGAATTGCAGAATCCCGTGAACCATCGAGTCTTTGAATGCAAGGTGTGCCGGAAGACATTTGGATGAGAGCACGTCTACCTAGGCATCACGCATCGCGTCTCCCACCGCACGCTGCAAGGCTCAACACAGGGGTGAAAGCTGGCCTCCCATGCGCCACGAGCGCGCGACTGGACTAAATGTGAGTCATGTCGATGGACGTTGTGGTGGTTGAAACTCAACTTTCTCTTGTTGTCGCGGATACAACCCATCACATGTCCGGTCTCCTAGACCCTGAATGCGCCTTTCGAGGTCGTCCAACCGCGACCCTACGTCAGGCGGGATTACCCGCTGAGTTTAAGCATATCAATGAGCAGAGGAAAAGAAACTTACAAGGATTCCCTTAGTAACGGAGAGCGAACCAGGAACAGGCCATCTCTAGAGTCGGGCGGCTCCGTCGTCCGAATTGCAGTTTGGAGAAGCGTTTTCAGCGACGAACTAGGCCCAAGTACCCTGGAAGGGAGAGACAGAGAGGGTGAGTGCTCCGGTGTGCCTGGACCTTGCTGCACCACGAGGCACTATCTATGATTCGGGTTGTTTTGGAATGAATCCCAAATCAAGCGGTGAATTAGGTCCAAGGCTAAGTACAGGCGAGAGACAAATAACAAACAAGTACCGCGAGAGAAAGATGAAAAATATTTTGAAAACAGATTCAAAGAGTGCTTGAAATTATCAGGAAGGAGGCGGATGGGGGCCAGTGATGCACCTCGATCGGATGTTGAACAATGATAAGCCGGTTCACAGATCGACTAGGGGCGTGGACTAGCGTGGATTTGAGAGGATGGGGGAGGCAAAAGCGTGAGCCCTTGATATACACGTGGAATGCCGTCTCCCCGATTATGGCAGGCAGCGTGCGCCTTTGTCATGCTTCGGCATCTGCGCACTCCGAACGTTGGCCTGTGGGATCCTCAACAGGCGATTAAAACCTTAAGGCGTAAGGAAGCTGATTGGTGGGATCCCCGTGATGGACTATGTTTGCAGACACCACGAGATTTGGTCACCGCCTTAGAAGGGTCCAATCCACATTTTTAAAGGGTTAGGATTTGGCCTTCGCTTTCACAGGGACTCGACCCGCATTCATAGGCTCTTAACTTCTCTTGCCTTTGCGTTCGAAGGATTTTTGCCACATTTGCAAAGGTTAAACATCTTACTTTTTGCATTTGCGGAATCTCTAACTTGCATTATCAAAGTTGAGGTGGCTCTGCAAAACCATAGCCATTAGTCTATCTACCTTTATTGTATCAAGGTTGTTCAATAATTAATATATATCCTCAATTGTCGATATTTAACACATATTTCATAGCTCCGCCCCTGGTAGAACATAGTAGATCCAAGATCAACAATAGTTGCATAGCCTCTAGGTGTTTTATTTGTACCCACATTTGTAGCATCATTAGAAGAGAGCAAAGAGGTTTTCAAATAGGAATAGAATCATCATCAACGAGGAATTCCTAGTAAGTGCGATTTATCAACTCGCGTTCACTACGTCCCTGCATTTGTACACACCGCCCGTCGCTCCTACCAATTGAATAATCCGGTGAATTGTTCGGATCGCGGCGACGTGGGCGGTTCAATGCCCACGACTTCGCGAGAAGTCTATTGAACCTTATCATATATAGGAAGGAGAAGTCGTAACAAGGTTTCCGTAGGTGAACATGCGGAACGATCATTATCGAAACCTGCAAAGAAGAACGACCCATGAACACGTTTTAAACACTTGGGGGAGGTGCGCGCCTCCCTCCTGTCGCCCAACACGCGCAAAATCTTCGTGCGACCAACAAACCCGGGCGCGGAAAACACCAAGGAATACTAAAATTGATAGCCCTACCCTCGCGCCCCATTTGCGGATCATGCAGAGGGACACACGTTGCTCTCTAAACACAAATGACTCTTGGCAACAGATATTTTGGCTCTCGCATTGATGAAGAACATAGCGAAATGTGATACATGGTGTAGATTGCAAAATCCCGTGAATCATCGAGTATTTGAACGCAAGGTGCGCCCGAAGCCATTTGGATGAGAGCATGTCTACCTGGGCGTCATGCGTCGCGTCTCCAGCCACACGCTGCAAGGCTCAGTGTGGGGGTGAAAGGTGGCCTCATGTGAGCCACGAGCGCGCGGCTGGACTAAACACAAGTCCATGTCGATGGAAGTTGTGGTGGTTGAAACTCAACTTTCTCTTATTGTCGCGGCTACAACCTATCACGTGTCTAGTCTCCCAGACACTGAATGCGCCTTCCGAGGCCCTCCGATCGCAATGCTAGGTCAGGCGGGATTACCCGCTAGTTTAAGCATATCAATGAGCAGAGGAAAAGAAACTTACAAGGATTCCCTTAGTAACTGAGAGCGAACCAGGAACAACCCAACCTCAGAATCAGGCGGCTCGGTCATCCGAATTACAGTTTGGAGAAGCGTCCTCAGCGGCGAACCGGACCCAAGTCCCCTGGAAGGGGGCTCTAGAGAGGGTGAGAGCTCCGTTGTGCCCGGACCGTGTCACACCACGAGGCGCTGTCTATGTGTCGGGTTGTTTGGGAATGCAACCTAAATGAAGCGGTGAATTACGTCCAAGGCTAAGTACAAGCGAGAGATAGATAACAAACAAGTACCGCGAGGAAAAGATGAAAAAGACTTTGAAAAGAGAGTCAAAGAGTGCTTGAAATTGTCGGGAGGGAAGTAGATGGGGGCTGGCGATGCGCCTCGATCGAATGTGGAACAATGATAAGCCGGTTCATAGATCGACTCGGGGCACGGACCAGCATCTATTGAAGAGGAGGGGGGAGGCAAAAGTGTGAGCCCTCGATATACACGTGGAACGCCGTCTCCCCGATTATGGCAGGCAGTGCGCGCCTCTGTCCTGCTTCAACATCTGTGCACTCCGAACGTTGGCCTGTGGTATCCTCATTCGACCCGTCTTGAAACACAGACCAAGGAGTGTGAAAGTGTGCGAGTCAATAGGCGAGTAAAACCTTAAGGCGTAAGGAAGATGATTGGTGGGATTCGCGTGAGGGACTGTGTTTGCAGACACAATGAGATTTGTTCACCGCTTTTGCAGGGTACAATCCACATTTGAAAAGGGTTAGGATTTGGCCTTCGCTTTCACAGGTACTCGACCCGCATTCACAGGCTCTTAACTTCTCTTGCCTTCGCGTTTGAAAGATTCTTGCCACATTTGCTAAGGTTAAACATCTTGCTTTTTGCATTTGCGGCACCTCTAAGTTGCATTATCAAAGAGCAAAATACAAGGCACCTTTAAGTACTAACTTCAATCAGCAATTATACTATAAATTTAACTCCATTTTTAGTGGTTTGAAGTCTTGTAATCATGAAATGTTGCGGATATGTGTGCGGATGTTTGGATGTATGTAGGCTCTCCATTCGAGGAAAGTTCTAGTTATTGTAGGCTGCCATGAATTAATTTTATGCTCTAAACTTTGAGTTATAGCTAGCAAGACTAAACTTAGGGTAACAATAAGACTATCACCCTGTAAATAGTAAGATCCCAAGGGCATTAGACCAGTGAGCAAGAGTAAACATGTGGGACCCAATAAGAACAAAGAATTATCATGTATCATCTATAACCCAAACTACAGTGGAACAATATTTAACCCAAGGAATCGATAAAAGGCTCTCCGCCTGCATGACTCCAATCTTAAGTCACCCAATAAAGCATAAAACCTCTAGTATCGCAATGGCCATAGAAATTGGAAGATTGAATAGAAACTTTGAAAAATTGAATCGACGCCTAAACTAAGGCTCATTCTATTAGACTTAAGTTTGCTACTTCATCTTATAATGAGTTAAACCATTTAAAACGATGTCAAAGAAGTAAAAGTCCTAAATACCATAAGTATCACTGGTCTAAGGAAAAAACTAGTCTAGTCCTAGAAAAATGCCAAGCATACTTCATTATACCATAATAACAACATTGAATTCGACTCACTAAAATAGAACTAAACACAAAATCCTCGACTATAATGGTATCATAACTAAAATAGTGCTACTCAAGTCCTAAACATGCCATCAAGAAATGTAAATAAAAAACCTAGGTATGTACCCCAAATTCCCTCTAGTGAACATGTAGTTACACATTCAACCTCAATATAAGAGAATGAAATTCGTACTCTACCTTTAGGTCAATCTCGCTTGCTCTAAGTCATAATGTTGGAGCCTTTCTCTTGAAAATGGCCTTAGAATTTTCCACGCTATCAGAAAATAAGATCACAAGAATAATACAGTTATCTAAAACACAGAAGACACATAATTGATAATGGGCCAAATTTAGAATTTAATGGAAATTATGGCGCATCCAAATTTACTATTTGACTTTGTCAAAATGTCTAAAAAATTACCTTGAACTTGTGTTCCAAAATTGAACACAATTCGAGGCTCAGAGCAGCAATACAACCAACATACAACAATAGATATTTGTTTAATAAGGGCTAAAAATGAATTTTTAAAGCTAAAATTACCTGCTGCCGGCAACCAGCAGTGTTGCGACATCCTCATGCGGATGCGGCGCTGGTGTGTCGCCGGGGTTGACCAAGGGGCATGGGTGTGCACTAGTGAGGTAAGTAAGGTTTGAGTGAAAATGGAAATTAATCATAATTTCTTTTTTAAAACAAGTGATAATTTACCGATCACGGTATGTCGGTATATTTTAATATAATTATCTATTTTTACAGATATTTAATAAATATAGACATCATGAAGTCAATTAGATTTAAATAAAATAACAATTTAAATATACTAGCCTCTTGAGGTCGGTGTTTATCAATTTATTTAACTATACACTAACCTCTTGAGGTCTATTTTATTAAATAAACTTATGTGCATATATATGTTAGTTTCATGACACGTGTGTTGCACGTGTGTATTGTGTATATAGTATACGATATTATAAAAGACAGTAAGCATTACTAAATTAAAGTTTCTTAGTTGTCAAAGAGTTTCTTATAGTTTATAGATCAAAATGACCAGATATCATTAAAACATTTCAAAATAAATTTAAAGTTTCAATATTGGAGAAAGTGACATTTCTTTAGTAGTATTATTTGTTCATTTACTGACTTTTCTAAAAAAATCTAATCTACAACATAGAAAAAATTACCCATTTAAAAAAAATGTGGCCAATAGCCTTTCCTCTTGAACATATATGATGTACATCATTTAAGTACAAATTTTGTTTTAAATATGCATACTTGAAATTTAATATGTGAATGACACTCATAAGAACTACCATAAGTATTTCAATATTTTATCCTAATATGTAATAGATGTTTTACAAAATATTTTTTCCTATGTCCCAATTTATATGACTTACTATCCTTTTTAGTCTGTCACAAAAAGAATGATATACTTCTATATTAAGTAATTATTTGACTATAAAATGCCTATTTTACCCTTAATGAAATAATTTACAGCAACACACATTTCTATCATAAATTATGGTCCACAAGTTTTAAAAGTCTTCCTTTTTTTCTTAAACTCTGTATCAATTCAAACTACCTCAAATAAAATGGGACGGATGGAGTATTACTCAATTAATATTTGAGTAAGACTATCATAGGTAGGTAATTTTACCCAACAAAGTGTACTTTGTTGTTAATGATGGTAAAATAAAAGTTTTTGTGAGTTGATGGTCAGAAACTATTGAAGGCTCTCAATATGAGGTAAATTCGAGTTATTCTAGATTTTCATGACTTTTTTTTGTGCTGTAAATTTTGAATTGTTGTATGTTGGCTCTCTTGACTGCTACGTGGCCCCTATTATGTTCCATTTTGGAAGACACATGATTTCCATTTGATTCAAAAGTTTTCCTATTTTCATTCATGTGTATTTGGTGTTGAAATGACCGTATTGGCGTTGTGATCCTCTTTTTGATAGTGTGACAACATTTTGAGGCCATTCACAAGGGAAAGACTCTGACATTGTGATTTTAGAGAACCTGAGATCAGCCTAAAGGTACACTATGACTTCCCTTCTCTTGGGCTGAGGTTGAATGTGTAATAACGTTTTGATTAGACTAAATTGGGGGCGGGTAGCTAGTTTTTTTATTTGCTTTTCTTGATACCATGTTATAGGACTTGATTGGTTCTATTTTGGGCGTAGTACCATGCTAGTTGGGGATTATGTTTTTAGTTCTATTTTTGTGAGTTGACTTGGATGTTGTTATTATGGTATAATCATGCTTGGACTTAGTTTATGACTAGACTAGTTTTTGCCTTAGACCTGCGATACTTGTTGTCTTTAGGACTTATTTGTTCTCCGTCGTTGTTTCAGACGGTTTAACTCATTATAAAATGTATTTTGCAGACTTAAGTCTAATAGAATGAGTCTTAGTAAGCTGAGTAGTTTTGAATATCCTTGAGTACTCCTTGAGTTGAGTTTAAAGTTTGAAAAGTGGTAAGTATGTTTCCACTTTTATCAAGTTTCAAATTTGTGTTAAGCTTTAGAATTTCCCTTACATGCTCGTACATTCCACGTACTGAGCCATTTGGCCTGTATCTTTTCATGATGCATACATGAGTATTAAAGATCATCAAGAGAAGCTTTGTTGATTCATCCAGAGTTCGAATTAGCTATGGTGAGCCTCCTTGCTTCAAGAGGATTTTATTTACTTTTCGGTTTAGTCAGGATATCGTGGGTCTGGTCCCGACTTCCATCTTTGTCAGTTAGAGGCTTCATAGACAGTCAGTATAGTTGATGATTTGTATTATTCATTTATTTTATCAAATCTTATAAAGACTTAAGTTGCCTATTTTTAGGTTAGTATATATTCGATTATTAAAAGTTTTCTTTTGGGTTAAAGATTTTCATTAACTTTTATGAACTTTTATTTCAGTTTTTATGCTTTTTTGTGATTAAGTTAGTCTTCCGCTAATAGTCAGCCAGGATGAGGGTTCGCTTGGGAACCAGAAATGGTTCTTGAGTACCGACCACTTCCAGGGGTAGATTATGGTCGTGACATTTTTAAATTAAGAAAATTCAAAAGAAGACCATTTGTTTTGCTTAACTTAAAAAGGTCACTTTTGAACTTCTTTTT